GTGCCTTTGACGTGCTGATGTTACTACATGCCTTACTTCTTGCTTATCTCACACTGCGAATTTTTTCTAAGCTCTATACTAAAACATTAAATCTGTTACGAAAAAAAGAACTAAACAAAAATGAACACAAAACGATCAGCTTTAAAAAAGGACTCGTAACTGGAAAAACCAAATGAAAAAAGAATGTTAACAAAAATACTTTTCACACCCAACCCAGTTCTGCGGAATCAGAATCAACGTTGAGTTTAAACAAGCGAATGAGCCAATTGGAGTAAAGTGCCATGCAGATTTAAATTTTCCCACTTGTGACGAATGCAGCTATCGATTATTTTTTGCTAGCATGCTAGTTAACATTCGTGTCAGTCAGCTGTTGGCTCTCACGCTGGCCATTAGAATCTTCCTGCCTATTCGTAGCAGCCAGCTATAGGCTCTCACTCTGGCCAGTACAAAATGGCCGCAAACTACATGAAAACTGCCGTAGAAGTATGAAAAAAATCGATTATTTCCACTATCGATGGGTGTTGAGAAATGCAAAGTCTGTCTTGGCCTTCCCGCTAACTTGGAGCATGGGCATATAAATTTTGGTGCAAATCCGTCGAAAATTGCGGTCGTGCATTCGTTACACACACACACACACACACACACACACACACACACACACACACACACACACGCACACACACATCCTGCATTTTATAGATAGAGTTTTGTGATTCGGGTTCATACCTAACTCTATAAATAAACATTGGGGTGGGTCTACAGGTAAGCATTGGTCGAATCCTTACCTGGGCCCATAAACACTGGTTAGCTCTATATTTGAGTTCATAGGCAAAAATTGGTTATGCATATACTTGAGTTTATAATTATACATAGATCGTGTCTGGACATACATGAATCTATAGGTTTAACATTCGTTGGGTATATACTTGTTTCTGAACCGTTCACTCCGAGACTCAGTTTAAAATATATATAGTCGTTCCGTTTCATGGCAAAGGGCTTGTGAATGCGAGTGATCCCAAGAGAGAAGCTGTGTACATTTCCAACTCCTGTGGCCGTAAGGTCGAGGAGGAGGGACCAAACTAAATGTTTGCCAGATATCGCCTGTGTCAATCTCTTTTGAACCGCGTGGGAGGCGCTTCTGGCCAAGTGAGTCGTCGACTAGTGCCTGTCCGATGCTCTAATGGATTTTATTGGGTGTCCTATCTTTTTTTATTGATGCTTTATGACTGCTCGGGTCTCAGTTATTTTTTTAACATTTTTAGATTTGTCGCACACCTCTCAGGGTCCTTCAAAAAGTTCTAAGCCTTTTGACGAGGATTTGAAGAAACATTTAAGGTTTTTCATTAGACTTTTAATATAGCCCTCCTTCAATTGATGTCATTGCAGTTGGTTAAGCACTGAAATTCCAACAAAAAAGATGGCGGCCAGGAAAAAACTCCTCCACAGCATATTTGATCTCATCACTGTTTCCAAAATTTGGACCACGCAGGTACTATTTAAGGTTAGGAAACAGGAGAAAGTAGATGGAACTAAGTCTGATGAGTGGGGGAATAGGGTAGTAATTTAAATTTGGCTGATTCTGCTACTACAACCTGAACGGTGTGAATTTTGCGTTATCTTGAAGCAAGAGCAAAACTGTCCCCAGCTTCCTTCTGCTTTTTGACTTGACTGCTTCCTTCAGGCTGTCTTAATTGTGATGCATAGTACTGCAGTTTATCTCACTTACGCCTTAATGAATCCGAAAAAAAAAAAGCCATCACCTTGCCAACAGACGCTGCCTTTAGTAAACGTCTTCGAGGCGGAGAACCAGTGTTTAGAACTGTTTGATTTGCAATGCTTTTTATTCAGGTTCGAAGTGGTAAACCTAGGTTTCATCTTGAAGTTACTAATCTGCGGCAGGAGTCAGCCAAAAATCCTGTCAGAAGTGTTCTGGAAATGTCAACCCTTACCATTTTCTGCTCTGGCTAAATCAGCATCATTGGGATTTCATTAATACAAAGTTTGCTCATCTCCAAGATCTCAGTTAAAATAGTACGGACGGAACGAGAACTAATGCCTGTGGACTTTTTTATCTGTCATCCAAAACCATGCGGTAAATGGCATCAACTCGTTCATTGGTGGTTGAGGTTTTGGACGATCTGTTGAAGGTCATCTTAATGAGTCCTTCCCTGCTTGAATTTGAACAGCCCACTTCTTCACAGTTGCATTGGAAGTGTAGTCGTCAACTAGTGTCTGTACCACGCCCTAGTGGATTTTTATTGAGTGTCCTATTTTTTTCTTTTATAGGCACTCTTTATGACTGCTCGGGTCTCAGTTATTTTTTTAACATTTTTAGATTTGTCGGACACCTCTCAACTTCGTATGGGCCCCAGCTGCACAGAAAATACAGAAATCTGAATTAGCTTTTCTTATTTTCTTATTTTACAAAGAAAAATGGATTACTAATCTTCGATGGAAATTCTCAGAATCAGTCTGGAAGCGAAGTCAGAACTCTCCTGGAAATTTTCAGCTTCTCACTTGTCAGCATTCTTGGGACTCATCTTACAGACAGCTTGCTCATACCATTTCAGATAAAGCAGTATGAAGTCATGCAGAGTTGTCTGTCAAAATCAAATCCACACGAATGGCTTCGTTAAATAGTCTTCACGCTCCAGCAAATCCAGCGGCGATGGTCCCGCGGGTGACGTTGGGCATGAGAGGACGACGATCCCGATGACCGGATGACGACGACTTGTGTTTATAAAAAAAAACGATTGTTAAGTCTATATTCTGCAAGAGGTGTTGTCGGCGTAAATATATGATTTTTGACAGGGTACAAAAGTAAACGTGATTTTAGTCATTTTTTATATGCGGTATTTTTTTTTAATGTGCAGTTTTCCTTTTTTGTTTGGTTGGAAGTGTACTCCTTTCAAATAGGATCATGAGTTTGACGTTATTGAGTGAGCTCGTATATAGCGTGATGGTCACATTCATATTGAAAATAATCTTGATAATTCCTCACGTTCTGGCTACAATCAATGTTTAACGCACTGAAATGTTGAACGTTTTAACGAAAAAAAAAAAAACTCTCTTGAATTAATACCGCAAACAAGATTAAGAAGGGAAGTAGATGGCGGTGCTTTCGAAAAAAGGACTATTTTGAAAATAAAGCTGGGATAAGTATATAAGGGGATTAATTTGAATATGACAAAGGAACCCTTGTCCACGGAAGGTTATTTTTTTAAATTTCACATCAAAAAGTGGAAATAACTCTAGGTTAAGTCATAAGGAGATTAATTTGAAGATGACAGACAAGCTATTACACCAGGAAAGCTGTTTTTTAAAGTTCACTTTTAAAAGTGACAATGGCGTTGGGATAAGTAGGTGAGATGTAAGTTTGTGTGAAGCAAAAGGAAGCGGGCATGGAAACCATTTTTCAAGGGAGGTAATTTTGTAATTCTTCTTCCAAAAGTGGAAACAACGCTAAAAAAATAAAAAGATGGTCTCCAAAGCGAGTTAACGTGAAGATGATAAAGAAGCCATTGATCTAGGAAGGCTATTTTTTAAAATTCCAAATGTGGAATTGACTTTAGGATGAGTAGGTGAACTTCCAATGGACTGCTTTGAAGATGTTAAAGATGCCACTGCCCTAGGTAGGCTAATTTTTGAAATTCACTTTTCAAAAGAGAAAATACCGCTGATATAAGCATGTGAGATCCGAAGGGGGTTAATTGGAGGATACTAAAAGAAACAATGTCCTAGGTTGGCGATTATTTTTGAAATTCCACTTTCACACATAAACATGACGCTGAGATAGGTTCCAAAGGGATTAACATGAAAACGAAAAAGATGCCATTGCCCTGGGTAGGCTTTGTTTTCGTAAATGTTAAATGGAAGTATGCTTACGCCGAAATAGTTTAACTTAGACATGCAAAGGATCAAATCCGTAAAAGCACTCCTAAACTAAACTCATTACGTTGCTAGCGAATATCTATGAACTTTAATCTCTGATAAATGATTCCCATAACCTTTTCATTTATAACGTTATCTTGGGTAAAACGACTTGACTTTTGCTTGTTAATGATATCCAAATGCACTGATAAAGGCGCGCCTGGAGATGGAAGCCTTAAGAAAAGATATTAGCGTAATAATAAAGCATTGTTATTTTGAGAGTTCACTTCGAGGCGAGCGTTTAAAGCCAAGCCGCCCAAATTGATCCATTTATGATTGCGGGATTTTTTTTTTCTTGCTTAGAGAAGTCAGTTTGATAAGACGTTCATTGTAACTGAGATCTTATTCTTCTATGTGAACTGTCTCTTCAGAACGTGGATGATCACGGCTTTCCACAGCTTCCTATCCTCTGCTGCAATTAGCAATGTTGCGCTTTTTACTATCGCTCTGTTCTGCTAACAGTTTACATAATTTCGTAATGAAGGTTACTCGCTGTCCCATTATGTCCCATGAGTGTCATCTTTTCCAAACCTTCTTTTCTTATTATGTATCCTAGAGATTTCGACAAAACTGAACATTTTTGTTGTAGCAACATACTACTAATTCTTATAAAAGTAAGATAGAGATAGATAGACAGATAGTGAACAGAATGAAAGATAGATAGATAGATAGATAGATAGATAGATAGATAGATAGATAGATAGATAGATACTGAATTTTGATAGATACATGCATACATACATGCAAACATACATACCGAATTTACATAGATAGATAGATATGAATAGCCCGAGGGAGATATGAATAGACTAAGATAAATAAATACATACATAGATACGAAGAGTCTCAGCAAGATAGATAGATAGATAGATAGATGATAGATACGAACAGTCTGAGATAGATATGAACACTGATATATATATATATATATATATATATATATATATATATATATATATATATATATAAGAGAGAGAGAGAGAGAGAGATGAACAGTCTGAGAAAAGAGAAATAGAAAGATAAATTCCGAATTTAGATACATACATACATACATACATATGGTATTTAGATTAGATAGATAGATAGATAGATAGATAGAGAGAGAGAAAGAGAGAGAGAGAGAGAGAGATGAACTGAGATAGAGATGAACAGACTGAGATAGATAGATAGATAGATAGATAGATAGATATGAGCAGACTGTGATAGATAGATAGATAGATATGAGCAGACTGTGATAGATAGATAGATAGATAGATAGATAGATAGATAGATAGATAGATAGTTATGAACAGACAGACAGACAGATAGATAGATAGATAGATATGAACAGACAGACAGATAGATAGATAGATAGATAAACTAAATCAGATTTCTGACAATTTCTGCGCAGGTGAGGCCTATACAAATATGAGCGACAAAACCGAGGCCTGAGATGTCATAATGTATCTGCAAAAGAAAAGTAGGATACCCAAGGAAATCCATGAGGATATGGTACAAACATTTGCGCAGGACTCCACTTCCTATCCAACTGGGAAGAAGTGGGCTGCGGAATCCAAGCCGGGCAGGGACAGCACAGAAAAGGTTAAGTCATCCAAAAACCTCGACTACTGATGAAAAAGTCGATGGCCTTCACCGTATGGTTTTGTATGACAGTCGTCTTACCGACCAGCAGATAGTTAGTTCTGGTTCGCTCCATACTGTTTTATCTGAAATGAGTTGAGCAAGCTGTCTGTAAGATGAGTCCCAACAATGCTGACAAGTGAGAAGCTGAAAATTTTACAGGAGAGTTTTGACTCGCTTCCAGACTAATTCTGAGAATTTCCATCAAAGATTAGTAATCTATTTTTCTTGTGCCAACATACTACCACTTGTAAAATAAGAAAAGCTAATTCAGATTTCTGTATTTTCTGTGCAGCTGGGGCCCATACGAAGTTGAGAGGTGTGCGACAAATCTAAAAATGTTAAAAAAATAACTGAGACCCGAGCAGTCATAAAGTATCTATAAAAGAAAAATAGGACACTCAATAAAATCCATTAGGGCGTGGTACAGACACTAGTTGACGACTACACTTCCAATGCAACTGTGAAGAAGTGGGCTGTGAAATTCAAGCGGGGAAGGGACAACACTGAAGATGACCTTCGGTCAGATCGTCCAAAAACCTCAACCACCAATGAACGAGTTGATGCCATTTACCGCATGGTTTTGGATGACAGATAGCTAAGTCCACAGGCATTAGTTCTCGTTCCGTCCGTACTATTTTAACTGAGATCTTGGAGATGAGCAAACTGTGTGTAAGATGGGTTCCATGGATGCTGACGCCAGAGCAGAAAATGGTAAGGGTTGACATTTCTAGAACACTTCTGACAGGATTTTAGGCTGACTCCTACCGCAGATTAGTAACTCAAGATGAAACCTAGGTTCACCACTTCGAACCTGAATAAAAGATGCAAATAAAACAGTATAAACACTCTGGTTCTCCACCCTCGAAGACGTTTAAGCAGACAGCGTCTGTTGGCAAGGTGATGGCTTTTGATTTTTGGGATTCAGAAGGCGTAAGTGAGATAGACTACAGTACTATGCATCACAATTAAGACAGCTGAAGGAAGCAGTCAAGTCAAAAAGCAGAAGGAAGCTGGGGACAGTTTTGCTCTTGCTTCAAGATAACGCACCCGTTCACACCGTTCAGGTTGTAGTAGCAGAATCAGCCAAATGTGGCTATGAATTACTACCCTATTCCCCTTACTCATCAGACTTAGTTCCATCTGACTTTCTCCTGTTTCCTAACCTTAAATCCCACCTGCGTGGTCGCCATTTTGGAAACAGTGATGAGATCATATATGCTGTGGAGGAGTTTTTGGAGGCCGCCATCTTTTTGTTGGAATTGCAGTGCTTAACCAACTGCAATGACGTCAATTGGAGGGAGGGCTATATTAAAAGCTAATGAAAACCTCTTGTTTCTTCAAATCCTCGTGGGTGAGGCTTAGAACTTTTTGAAGGACCCTGGTAAATAAGATATGATAGTCAAATACAAGACTGAATAAAGGCCTTTCCATCCAAGTTACAATAGCCCCGATGTGACAATTGATACCAATTTTAGTATTTACCATATTATAATTTTCAAAGGTGAAGGTCATTCATCCCACTAAAAAAAGAAAGAAAACAAAACAGCAATTGTCTGGTTAAGGAGATTCATATTTATCGAAATAATATAAAGTATTTTTCCTGCATTTAGTTCATTTTTTCTAATATTTATTTTTTTTTTTCTAATATTTATTATTTTATTTTTTCTATTATTTTTCGTGCATTTAATTCATTTTTTTCTAAAATTATAATATAAATTATATTAGAAAAAATTCTAATATAATTTATATTTTAATTTTTTTATTTAATATTTTTCTAATTTTTTTTAATATTTTTATTCCATATACTTGTTTCTTCCACATATATATTTCAAAATACATACGGCTGCAAACCAGCGTGCATCTATTTATTTATATGCCATCAAGTCATGTGACACAATTTTCCAGTCATGTAGATTACGTTTCACGATGACACACCTACATAGTGTTTCTAAACATCCCCATAGTGAGTGTTCCGTTTGTAAAAAAGTTGGAAAATATTATGCATGTATTTGTTTATATATACTCAGATTAATATAAGAATGAGTAATCAAAACAAAGACTGAATATTCTATTATCAATGCTGTAAAAACGGTCCTGGGTATGACGATAAACTACATCCGGCAGCAAGGCCTCTCATCGGGATATTGAAGGTTTTGAGGAGACTGCAAGCACCTCTTAACTGCGGCTGTTCCCAAGGTCCACCCTTATACGGGATTGTAGCACCTGTTAGTGTTCCAGCTAATCACCAAAGCTCCCAAGAAAACTAAATTTCGGCATAAAATGACTAATAAGGCGTTGATATCAAACATTAAAGGAACAAAACCAGACAAAACCCCAAAACAGAAAAACTGTCCGAACTCAATAAACTCTAGTCTAATTTTAATGAAATTTGACACTGCATTCAACAGATGTCAAAGATATAATATACCTCTAAATTGGTAGGGTATTATGTATTGTCTACGTTGGGAATATATAGATAGATAGATGAATAGGTTTGATATTATATATATATATATATATATATATATATATATATATATATATATCCAGATATATATATATATATATATATATATATATATAGAGAGATATGATAGACCTGCAAAGATATGAACATGTAGGTAAATGCTTTTGACTTCCTATATTTTATTTTGTTTCAACCTCACAAAATAATTTTATGCAAATTTAATTGAAGGTTCGATTTACAGGAAATCAAGCATTACAAAATAGTAATTATAAAAATTAATCTGGTTTATCCCAATTTCGTCCAAAACAAGGATAAATTTGTATTTTTCAATGTTCATAAATGAAATTCAAACAACACTTTGTCGTTTATGGCGTGTTTTTGTGTAGTCAACAGACTCTTTAAGCTTTATCTAATGACAAGTTTAACTGACAATGATAGTAAACAGTATTACGACCTTAATCAGTTTTCTTCTTTATGTCTCTTGATTCCTTAATATAATATATATAAGGAATATATATATATATATTATTGATGTAGTGAAGAAGAGACATCAAGCGCCAGTAATGTCCACTGCTGTCGAGTGTCCTGAAAAACAAAAAAAAAGAGTGTTGGACGGCTATGTAATATCTAATATCCTATATATAGTGAATATGGATAATCTATATATATACAGATTCGTTGCCTATCTTGAAGCGACAGAGATTTGGTTCTACTGATTAGTGTCAATTAGAAATGTCCAAAAAAGAGTGTTGGACTGCTATATAATATATAATATATATATATCCTATATGGCAGTGAATGCTGGACAATCTCTTCACAGATGAAGAAGAGACTTGAAACGACAGAGATGTGGTTAGGAATTTGACGAGTGTCTGCATTAGAAACAAAAGAAAAGAAATGTTTAACGGCTATGTAATATCTAATCTCCTATATGGCAGTGAAATGCTAATTACAATCTAAATTCAAAAATGAAGAAGAGATTTGAAGCGACAGAGAGATGGGGAAAACTGACGAGTGTCCTTAGAAACAAAATAAAGAGTGTTGGACGGCTAGCACTGTTATATATAATCTCCTATATGCCAGTGAATGCTGGACAATCTATATACAGATGAAGAAGAGACTTGAAGCGACAGAGATGTGGATTCTACTGATATATATATATAGAAACAAAGAAAATGAGTGTTGGACGGCTATGTAATATCTGATATATATATGGCAGTGAATGTTGGACAATCTTTTCACAGATGAAGAAGAGACTTGAAACGACAGAGATGTGGTTCTACTGACGAGTGTCATTAGAAATAAATAAAAGAGTGTTGGACGGCTATTTAATATCTAATCTCCTATATGGCAGTGAATGCTGGACAATTCCTCACAGATGAAGAAAGTTTGACTTTGAAACGACAGAGATGTGGTTCTAGTTTGAAGTTCGAGTGTCCTTAGAAACAAAGTGAAATGAGTGTTGGATTCTTACTGACAGAATGTAATAAATCTATATGGCAGTGAATGCTGGACAACTCACCACAGATGAAGAAGAGCGTCAGACAACGACAGAGATGGTTCTACTGAAAGGTTTTCCTTAGAAACAACGAAAAGAGTGTTTCAAACGGCTATGTAAATCTAATCTCCTATATGGGAGATAATGTTGGACAATCTCTCACAGATGACTTTATCATTTAAACGACAGAGATGTGATTTACTGATGTTTTTTTGTCCAAGAAACAATCACTGAAGTGTTGGATTCACTAATAAATATCTAATCTATATTGGTTTAATTCTGGAAATATTTCAAAGATGAAAAAAACTTGAAACGACAGAAATGTTTTAAAACGAGTTCCATTAGAAACAAAAGAAATAAATTTGGATTTTATGTAATATTTAATCTCAAATTATATTTTCTTTAAATATTTAACAATCTCCTCACAGATGAAGACACAAAGGACAGAAAGATGTGGTTCTACTGATGAGTGTCTCATTGGGAAACAAAGAAATGAGTGTTGGAAAGCTATGTAATATCTAATCAGGAATATGGCAGTGAATGCTGGACAATCTTCCCCAATGAGATGAAGAAGAGACTTGAAATGGACAGAGATGTGGTTCTACTACATAAAGTGTCCTTAGAAACAAAGAAATCTGAGTTTGAGGCTTATGTTCAATATTGAATCTTTATATGGCATTGAATGCTGGACAAACTTTCCTCATCTTTCAAGATGAAGAAGAGACTTTCGACAGAGATGTGGTTACTGATTAGTGTTTTAGAAAAAAAGAA